CTAGTGGAACGCTCGATTCGCAAAGTATGACATCGGCCTGACTGGTCACCCCTCGGCTCTCGGCTTATTCCGTCTACGTACACTGCTACCAGAATGATGTCTCTACGGAAAGATTTTCGAGCTACCTTTTATGGATGACGCCGATATACTTGATATCTTCTTTTTTTGGCATATGAAACCCAGTCGATAAAATTAAATTTCGGCTGACACTGGAGCTGATGTTCCTTTCTAGCGATATACCGACGGACCAGTAAGATGAACGATGCTCTTCCAGGTTAGTTTAGTGTATAGGCGGTGAATGATGGCTGCTTTGACCAAGGTGCCGCTTCCCTTTGTAAAGCTGGGATCCCAGCGCCTAGTTGAATGCGCGGAGCACTCTGACGGGGCTGTTCTTGTAGCTCCTTCACGCTTTTCTCAAGCAACTGCAAATTTCGTGAAAGTCCCTCTTGCCCACAGGTGCTTTGCACTCTCCAATATTAGCTCATAAAGTACCCCCAGGAGGAGACTGAGTATTCGAATTCTTGGGTCGCGCACCCCACTCGACTCCCACGTTGCATAGGTGAAGCCCTTGAAAAGCTGTTCTTCAACACACCAAGTTGGAAAAAATTGTACTACCCTGTGCAAATTATAATTCCGAACTAATAAAGGAACAAGTTGGTTCATTGGTTCTCATCTTAGCAAATGAGCTAAATTTGAGGAGCTCAGCCGAGAGGTTCACACTTGACACCTTACTATCAATTACATTCATATGTGTGGGCTTTAAACAAAACCGCGCTTTGTGGCAAATTCTACTGAATGGCTGGTACAGCTGCCAAATCCTCAAAATTTCAAAAATTTCAAGCGGCTGCTACCTACCCTTGATTTTTGAAGGTTTCTCAAACTTCTTCCTGGTAGTGGAAGCGGTTGTTGTGGTAGTTGTCTGAGCTGAATCTGTAAACATGACACTTTCTGAGCTTTTCTCAAAGCCAAGCCCTGATTTTAAGACGCCATGCAGATTTGAAAATAACCCACTGTTAACAGGACAGTCGCCCCAGTAGACGCAAGTGCCTTGAGGATTGCGTGCGTAACCCTGCATGCAGGAGCAAGCTGGGGATCCACATTCATCGCAATCAGAGCGGGTGAAGATCGACACACAGTCTGCCTCACAGACTCGGCATTCGACGACCGTCTCATTCACGGCGCATTTCAGATTCTCTGCTGCTTGTGTGTTGTCCGCCTGCGGTCAGTTTGAAGTTGTTCGAGTCTGCACTAGGCAGATCAACTAAAAAATACTTCATTAGTAGAAAATTCCTCGAAAGCAAAACTCAGAAACTGTCGCGCAGTCCATGCCCTTGATTTTCTCAGAAAACGAACCTGAGACGGATGGTACATGCATAATCTCAGTGGTGTGGTTGGTCGTATGGTCATGGAAATGGCTGTCGATATCTGTAAACGTGCTTACTAAAGAAATAGCTTTTTCAATAAATTGAACAGTTTATTCTCAAAAGTGAGGGTGAAAGTACAGTAAGCTATATTAATACTGGAGGAGTAAGTAGGACTATCATACTTGAATACAGTAAACTCTGCGCACTTGAAATTCTGGACTCGAATAAAGCCCCATCATGACTCTCAGCGAATCTCCTATTGGATTCATCCTCGCTATGTTTATCCTTGCCTTCCACTAATGAACAATCAATAAGCTATCACATTGGTGTTGCCCAAGCATAAATATAAATCAGTGTTAATTTTGAGCCCACCAGGTTTGGATAATGTTCTTCAATGAACAAGGAACCAACGGTGTCGAACTTCTACCTTAAAGGCACAGTCCAGGCAAAGGTCACTGAACGATTCCCCTTAGTCAGCAGGATAGATCTCAGAGGAGAATCACTGATGTGGCACCCCGTGCATGGAAATGGCCTGACAAGGGCGCTTAGGCCTTGCAAAGGCAGCTTCAACAGCTTCAATTTTCCCACCGCAGCAGGTTGTTGTCTGGCGCCCTCTCATCTGTTGCGCTCTCTCGCCTCATACTCTCCTCTCCGCGCTTAGTCTCTCATTCCCTTAGCACAGCCGATTAGGAAGGTGAGTGAGCCCTTAACCTAAGCGTTTTCGACGGATTCTTTTCCTTTTTTCTTTACTGCCGGCCCATTTCGCACCAATACATTCGCATTCGTGTGCAAGAGCCACACCTAGTTTTATCCTGGGGCATGCCTACCAAGAAGAGAACTCGAACACTTTACTGTAAGATTTGCGTCATCAAGAGGAAGCAGAGGAGAATCTATAAGAAACAAGTTTCTCTGGCCCTTTTATGAAGTCACCCCATTCGCATTTCCCTCTCAGGTCGTTCGTTTAATGATAATGGCGTATTTCGGAAATTGAAATGTGCGCCATGACTATCGGAATATTATCGCATTAGACGAGTTTCTCGGGAGGAGGATCGCCGGCGTCAAATTAGGTTCTCGAAATCTCATCGAATTAGCGGCGCCACCTCATCACTGAGACTCCATTACATTACTGTAGCGGCACCCTAACTACTGTAGTATTCTCAATCGATTCTCGACCTATTGCAAACTGCGGTATAAATTCCTACAAATTTATGGAATATTGCATTTGAAAAGAACTAAAGCAATCAGCGTGGATCAATCCCTCTTCTATAATGGGCCATGCACTCCGCTTCCGTCAGAGTCGTAGTGCCAATTTTTATGCTCGTCGGCCTTTACAACGGCTTGCAGAGCTAGCTATTGTAGGAGCCAGTGTTTTTATCCTCCCAGTTGAGACTAGTACCAAGTATCAACTGAGGATACCGGTAGGCTCGACGTTTTTTTGGCCTCAGTGGAGTACAACTCAGAATTTGATCTAAGGAAGAATTTAGGCGGTGTGTAATAAATAGTGCCACTTGCCACTACAGTTTCGCCCAGCATTTTGTTGATAAAATTTTTTCATTTTATTTCCTGGCATCTCGTGGAACTTGGCTTTAGGAACAGGAGGGAATTTTTTTCAATTTTTTAAGTGCAGTATGGTCTTTGAAACCAGAATTAACTCATATTTCCATCCATTACCCAAAGTTTCCCTCGACAGAGACCTCAAAGTGAGCATAGTGGTCAGATTGGAGTTCAAAGCCACGAGTGGGATTGTTCCAAGAGCTAGTCCCTTCTGGAATGAGAAAGAAGGCTCCTCAAGGGCAGGAAGCACCACAGTATTGCGAGTCAAAAAGC